GTAGCACTCACACCCATAATCCCAGCTTTGGACCATGAATCAATCATAAACTCTAGAAGCCCACCCCATGACTGCATGAGGCTTTGGGGGAACATCCAGGCACAAACCATGACAAGGCTCAAGCAGCATAACAGGAAGTGGAGTACCCAAGTTAAACTAGGTCCAGCGCCTATGTTCTGTGTGGACATAGGCATTCTGGGCAAGATGCTGTGTGGTAGAGGGCACTGTGCCCACATCTGTCTGTTGCTTCTACTCTTCATTTAAAATCATCCTCCCATGGTCCCAGAGGGCTCCAGAGTTTCCAGGAATCTCCCAAGAAAATTCCCCATCACCTTATGAGGCAGAGTCCTTGTCTAAGCAACAGACACACTATTTGTGCATCTTCTGCTTTATATGCTTGAGTTTGCTCTTGCTTTCCATTCACTGCAGTAGCCCTACGTGGCCCCAGGAAAGAGGAAGTGCTGCCATCACTGCTGTTGTTTGGACCCGGGGTCTAAAAGCTTTGGCTAACTCACCTGAACCACCTAGCATGTGGGTGAGGGAGTAGAGGTAAGTGGGGCTCTGGAGCCCCAGGATTTAAACCTAACTCCCTGCAATGCCTCACATCATCAAGTCACCCATAGCATGAGGCATGGGGAGAAAGTGCATCCCTCCAGCCCCCTGCACTGCCCCCATAGATCCCTGGGCATTATCAAGCCCAGGTGTATCCACGATGAAGATGAACTGGGCATCTGGGTGGCACCCACACTACAGAAGCACATAGTCCTGAATTTCTTCCACATCTAGTACTCTTGTGACATCTTAAATGGCTCCCAGTTTGGGCAGAAATGGTTGGATTTGGTGCAGAACAAGCTGGAGCAGAGAGTTCACTGGAGAGTATCATGGCTGAACCACACACAGCCTGGCTTACAATTTACCCTCTCTGGTGGGCTCCAGGGACAAAGTGAAGACTCAAGAAAGGTTCTTCAAAATTCTTCAGCTGTGGTCTCCATGCTCTCAGGAGATGACTGCATTCACTGTGTTTAAAGAGGTGTCAGCCGGAACAAATGCACGCTCCTCTGCACTGTAAGAACACTTGCCTTATGGAGAGAGAAAGAGGTCAGACACTGAGTGGGAAGCACAGCCCTGCCTGCACTTTTCCTTTGCAAGAGACTCTTATGTTCACATGTCCTCTGTCCTCTCCAGACAGAGAGACAATTTGTAGGAAGCACACAGCCAACCCGGGGTTACTGGGCCCTCAACAAGGAAGCTTGAGAACCATTCCTTTCCTTACCCATTAAATATCACAAGAATGTCGCTCATGGCTCTGCCCAGATAGGTCTTGTTCATTTCACCTTTCAAGAGACTTTGAGTGTATCCTTTCCTTAAAAGCAAATACTGAACAGAACCTCATCAAATATTAGTAACCAAGAGATCTAAATGCACACCCTGCACTGGCAGCTTAGAAGGAATAAGAAGGAGCTGATACAAAGGCAGAGCCGCAGAGGTTGCCCTGAGTGAAAGGGGAAGTATGTATTCTCCAGTGCAGGAATAGAAGCCAGTGAGCAGGCTGATTGCTATTGATTCACAATCCCAATATCTACTGCCTCTTACAGTGCAGCTCTTGAAACTCCGGAGGGAGGACAGTGGAGAAAGAAGAAGACAGGGTCAATATACAAAAGCTGAGGTCAGGTGGAACCCTCTTTCCTGATGGGAGAAAGGAACTTCCCAGTGCCTGCAGCACATTTATGTACAGAATCAGCCTATGAATGAGTTCATGGAGAGTTTAAGGGGAGGGTAGAATCTGGGACAGGAAGAACATCTAATCTGTAGCAGAACAGCATGCCTCCGTGGCTTCATGGGGATCAAGAGGAAAGTGTCTATGTTATCTCAAGTGAAGGTCAAGTCACCACGTGTATCAGTTCCCTGAGCTGTGCGACTTTCCATGAGAACCAGTGGCCTTGTCCTAGATACCCGAGGTACAGGCAGCATTACCCCCCAATAATCCACTCAAAGGTACACGAAATGTCCCTTAATCAGATTACCTATGTATAGTTCATCTTTATCTTTCTCTTTGGCCAAATCCTGATCTTCATTTGATGTGGTGTTGTGTGATCTCATCCCTGGCCAGCTGGTTCACTACTTTGGTTGAAGGTGATGGGAGAGATGTGAGAGTATTCCCAGATAGTTGCCTCAGTTGTCACTGTGGACATGGAAAGGCTCATCATCAGAACAATTAATAATTCTCAGCAAACGCCCTCCAAATGGCCCACAGGGTGATATATAGATTCACTAGTTGTCTTTCCAAGTGTAAAAAGATAGAAATCTGGAGCCCTATCATCAGCTATACATTAGTTCTGAAGCTTTGGCGGTGCTCAAATTCTGTGAGTGGATAGATTAATTTGCACCAATCCACACATAAACCTGGGATATTTAAGATTCATAAGCTCAGAGCTTGGGACATCTTGTCTACCAGTGTCTCTGCCTCCCACTCAACCATGCCACGTGTTCACATTTGTTACTGGGAGCCACAGTAGGTGGACAACAGTGAGACGTCTTCCTGCTCCAGCCAGACACGCTTATGTTTCCAGTAGTTCCAGTTCTGAGGCTAAAAGATCTCTGGCATCAATCTTCACTCTTGCCTTGCAACATAACGTAAGTTTGAAGTGAATTTCTACCTGTGAGTGGGAATATCCCCCTACCAAATTCTGTAACGCAGGGGAAGAATTAGAGGGAAGTCTAGATGCTCCCTTGATGCATGCTTTCCATTTTACCAGCCACAACAGAGCAAATATCACAGACTTCTATGAGGCTCTGTAACTAACCCAGTAAACAAAAGAAATCTCTTATCTGTGCCCTTCTAATTCAGGATGTGTTTCTTTTTAGTATGTCTTTTTCCACCATTATTTGAATCATGAATCCATTAAAAAATAAACCTTTGGGAACCTGAAATGTATAAGGACATACTCTCTGTTTACCAGAAGAGAATTTCCATTCTTAGCACTGTTTCTGCTGTTACTTTAATCTGAAAACAAACACCAACGTTTGATTCAGGAGAAAATAAAGTCAGACATCAAAAGCTTGATAGTAAAGCTCAGCCCTTGTCCAAGATGCACATTTACCTCCTGTCTGTTCTTACCATTTGGAGAAATGCATGCATCTTATGTCTGTTTTTTATCTTGAAAGGAGTGGTGCACCATGCTCTCTGCAGAAATCTAATCCAGAAATAAAATGTATTTTTGTGGAACATTTTTGTCTTAAAGTATAATAATTCAAATATGAGTAAGGCTGTGTTTCCAAGAACAGTTTGCTGAGGTCCTTGTGCATACTGTAGCATGAGTTGATATCCGCAGGAAGACTGTGGTGGCAGACTCACAATCCTGTCACCTCTAACTCCCAAGCACTGAAGTATTCCCAGTCTCCACACCCCTCCTATCATCTGAGAATCTTCAGGATACCGAGAAACTGGTGCCACTGATATGTAAAGATTGCAAAGGAGACAGAAAGAGGAGGGTAAAAGTGGGAATGTGGTGTGATTATTTCTCTTCTCTCTTAAATTTAAACCTTTTTTGTTCACCCCATTCTATTCTCATTTGGTGAATTCTACACAGAGTGAAAAAAAGTTAAAATTAATAAGCATGATCTCAGGGGGCCCTGAGAAGTCACAGCAATGCAACTGTACATGTGTTTAGCTGTTAGAAAGGTATGGCTCAGTAAAGTCTTTAAACAATGAGAATACATGACATTTACTCAATACAGTGTCTCCAAGTACACTCTTCACTAGTTCCAAAACTCAAAGATGTCATCAGGTTCTCAGAATTTTCCCATCTTCCCAGTTCTGCCTCCAGGACATCGATTTCCTCAGAAGACACATATTTCATGGTAGCACAGCTTCAGGCATCATAGCATAAACCAAAACAGGCAGAGAAGAAACTTCTTGCATTATGTTTACTTCTATCATGGAAGAAAATTCTTCTCCAGAGTTCCACAGAGGAGTCCTTTGTCTCTCAGTTGTTATAATTGGGATCCATGCCTCATCTCAAGACCAGTCACTGGCCAAGGACAATGCAGTAAGATGAGTAGTTAAACCAGTCACTGAACATGCTCTGGGCATGGAGCTGCCTGTCCCTGTAGTCACCAGTAATCTCAGAAGTAAATTTTGGGGTCGCATCACACTTCCGGGGCTGTACAGGTGGACCTAGTTGTGATATAATGGAAGCTCAAATAAGATGGAGAAGTACAGTCACACATCAGCTCCCTTCTGAGACTTACTGGACTTTTTAGGATCCGGATACTGACATCTAAGTACGATAATTAGCTTTGGTTGTGCTCATTTTAACAGTTGCCTTCTAGTCATGGTAGTAAGATGAAATGATTCCTTCTTTTATAGTGTTGCTTCCATCTCATTTTGAAGTACATTGACTTAATTTTGTACCTAAGTAAATAGAATTATGAACATTCTGATGCCTTTGGCATTGTCACAGGATTGAATAAAAAGTTGGAAGTTAAGAGAAGCCTTGTTTATAGCAGTAGGGACAAGAGTGGCATCCAGTGTAACTCCTCCAACAAAATCCACAGTGGTGACAGCTTCCCTCATGAGATATTTATTATTTCATCACTCTTAAAAGGCCATGTTGGCACTTTTCATAGAATTTGCCTGACTGTTGTAGTGTTTTTGGTTCCAAAAATAAGCTGAGACATTAGAAGTCATGATTAATAATAGAATGAATACTTTACTTTAAATTTAGTATTAAAGTGACAAGAAAATATAAAAAGCTTGTGAGTACATATGTGTTTTGTATTTTCAGAAGTTCTGTTTCACTGAAGTTACTCTTTAACTTTCTGTTTCATCTGAAATATTTTATGAGACTTCAACAACATAAAAAAATGTCTGTTCTGCTCACTATAATAGCATTTATCAAACTGTGGGGGGCCTGTGGGGTTTAGGTGGTCTCCCTCAGGACATCAGCACAGGCAATCACAGAGTGAGAAATTTTATTTCCTTTGCAATTACCTTTCAATCCTTCCCATTTCAGCGAGGGGAAATTCTCATTTTGAAGACAGAAAGCTTTGCCCAGTCTGACATTTCTTAGATCCTTTTTTAAGTGGAGAGTCCTGGCCTTCCACCCAGAGCCCTGGACAAAAGTGAGAGGTTAGCCACAAGAGCTGCTTGTGTTTGTGACAGTAATAGCTGATTCTTCTCCTCTCCAGTTCACACACCGCACCCACCAGGGAGAGCGAGGCCCCCCCACCCTGAGACGCTCCTGAGGGCCACACTGAGGACCTGAGGTTGTCATGGAAACGCAAACTGGAGCACAACCCCAAGACAAAACAAAACCTGTGGCTCCTGCTTGCATCAGGGGAGCTTGGTGCACAAATGCGCAGCACAGGCTCAGTGATTTGGAAGAGGCGCGTTGTACCGCGGCGACCCCTGTACACCCACCATTGCTGCACAGCTCCCAGTGGTTGAGAACGCCCAGATGCCCATCAACTGCCAAATGGAACAAGAAAAGGTAGCGCTTGTGCAGAGACTTTGACTCATCAATAGCAGTGCAGTTCTGTCATTTGCGGGGTGATGGATGGAACTTGGGGCCCTGATGAGCAAAACGAGTCAGACACAGAAGGTGAAGTGTCACACGATTTCTTCTGCACAAGAAACCTAAAAGATAAACACAGTAAGGTTCAATGAAAGAGAAATGGTGAGAAACACAAGGCTTTTTTGGGGATGGGGAAGAGAACAGGTTAGGGAGGGGGTCAAAGGGGCAGAAAATGATTGAAGTATGTTGCATATATGTCCCAATTCTGCAATGTAAGCACGACTATTACGTTTCATAAACATGTACTAATAAAAAGCAAAATACCCCAAAGCTAGAGAGCCTTTGGGGAGCTTCCCGGCCCTTCCACCATGCGAGGGCAGAGTGACAGAAGTCACCCTGGCCTCCCGCGCTGACCTCCTGAAGTGTGAGCAGTGCTTTTCCGTGGTGAATAAGCCCCCAAGTCTGCAGCAATTTGTGACAGCACCGGGAAGAGACCGAGCCCCGAAGCCTTGCTTCTCTTGCTGTTCTTCAGCCTGAGGTCATGTGTGCCAGAGGGAGGGCAGGTCCTCTGGCGGCAGGACAAGTGCCAGGCACGTAGGGGGGTGAGTGCGCTTCGGGTGACTAGGAGCGGCTCCTCTCTCTATGCAGTCTATCACATTTCTTTTCCAAAACAAACTTGGCAAAGACTCGGAAGTTAAGCTAAATCATTTTGATGCCGATTAAACAAGGGAAATTTAAGACTGTTAGAATTTGGGTTATGACATTTGAAACACAATACTATTTTACTGTAAACAACAATAGCTATGTCAGACAAGCTTGATCTACATTGGAACGTGGCTCTTTAGTGATGTTTAGTGCTGCCACTGAGCTGTTTCAGTGGCCTAGTGATTAGGGCTGAGGTATAGCAGTTCCATGGGTTATAGGTTCTAGTCTCACTAATGATAGTGTCAGGGTCAAGAAAAAAAATGTTTTCTGCTTCCAGGTTTTGGGCTAAGACTTCTGGTTCTAGGGAAAATGAGTTGCCATTATCTCTTTGGGTCAATGTAGACCAAGGACCTCTTTCCAGAACCTGTTCCTTTGCATGTGACTTCTTTGAGGTTGTAATGTTCTTGACTTCAGTCCTGTTTGCTCTGTGATTTATTCTGTCCACCAGATGTCAGGAGCTTATCATGTGACTCTCTTAAATATGAGTTTATCATCAGGTTTCCTGAAGTGGTAGGCTCGTGGCATCTGGAGGGGCAAACAGAAGAGTGTCTGTGAAGAGATGTGTAGTCAGCTCTCCAGCAGCCACCCCAGGGTCCTGACTGTGCCCGAGCTCTGTGCTGAGGCCTCTGCCCATGGTCACACCTTGGTCATCATAGCTGTGTGGTAGGTACCGCTCCAGCCCTTTTGTGGCTGTGTCACCTTCCAGCTAGGAGACGTGGTGTTTGGCACAGGGCTGACTGTCCCTGCACGTTCCAGCCACCCTCTCCAGCATGAAGGTCCGTGTACTGGACACTGACCTCAGGCTACTGGCCTCAGTTTTGTACATCTTTCCCCTTTTGTGTGATGGACTGAAGGACCCAGCAGGGTACATTGGCTACACCTCCTAGTGTGCTAGTAAATTAATTCACAAGGAAGATACTGACTGATAACAGCTACTTAATTCCTCTTATGAAAAGGCCCTTCCAGAGCCATCAGGGCCCATGAGTGCCTGCCCATGAGTGCCTGCCCAGAGCTCTGCTCTTTCCAATTGGCACAGCCCCTACTCCATCATAATAGATGTTGGAAACGTAGGCACCTTCCCAGGCTCTTCACAGACAGCATGGGAACCAACACTGGTCAGGGAGCCCTCAAAGGGCATCACCGGGCTTCCTGCAAATCTTCTTCTCCTTTTAAAAATAGTGGGAGATGCAAACACAAATACTTGCCATCTTCCTACTTGGGCATGTGAATGTGTGAAGGTGCGATGCTTGAAATTTCTGGCAGCCACTTTGTGACTATGGAAGATAAGATTTAGGCACACGGCATGCCAGGCTGGCTGCAGCTGCAACAGGGAAAGCTACTACCTCCTCAGAGACATGAGAAAACTCCTGAGCCAGCCCTAAGAGTGCCAGCCTTAGGTTTCTTGACATGGGAGATAAAGTCTTGTTGAGAGCCTTCTAGCTGGGTAATCTGTTACTCGCTGCCCATACAAAGCAGTACTTAGGAGTCCAAGGAAGCTGGGATTCTAATTATGAAATCCCCAGATCTGTGATCTGTCAGTGTAGCAGCTATTCTTAGCTGTCTGAAATCTTTTCGGAGACTCTCACATTTCAAAATTGAGAACACCACCACTGCAGAGCAAGAATGTAATTTGACTTTAGCTTAACTCTCCTGTCTGTTTCAGGAAATATTCTAACAGCTTTGCTCTGTGCAATTCTATGTGAATATTGCTGTAAATTCTTTTGGCCTCAAGCCATGGAAGGGAACAAATACCTCTAATGGTTTTATTTCAGGTTAGGGCTCTGACCTGCAATTACAGGTTAGAGAGTTTCAGTAAGAGGTCCAGGCACAACCAAAGCCTTGATTGTGTGGAAAGGCAGAGGAAGGGGTGACATATTTAGGTCCCATGTGAGAAGAACAGCAGCTCTGCACCACCACCTGCAGACATTCATAAGGAAAATACAGAGAGGCAGCTCCCTTTTCTCAGCTTGATGAAATAACCCACATACGCTCCAACCCCCCTCAACCAAATGTACATAGAAATAATGTACATAGAAATAATGGCTTTCCAGGTCAGAAATATTTCTTTTTTTCTCAGAACCCAGGATGAGGCCAGGCAGGTCCCACACTTTGGTGGTTAGAACCCTCCTGCCCAGTTGAATCTCTCCTGCAGCCTCACATTGCTGCCATCTTGGTTTCCCTCCCTGCTCAAAGTCAAGATCGCGTTAAACAATCACTGCACAGTGGACTGAGAGCATGTACACTGGGGAGACTGAAGAGGCCAGATTTTAGTGTTCACGGCAATGATTAGTGTCAACATAGACAGAAAGTGACGCCTGCCTGGCCATGACCATTTCTCATCCTTACAGCTGGCAGCCACTCCTACAAAGCTCCAGGCATTTGCGTCTCTTCCAATAACAGCAGCTAAAAATAACACATGTTCCTTTCTGCCCGAGTGACGAATGGAAGGCCCACTGCCACCAGGCCTTCTGTAGGAGGGAGTCTTGCTATTTATCTTGAAGCAGCTCAACAATAAAATAAATAGCATGTACTCATTATTCAAATGAAATTGTAATTAATTCACAACGTGCTCCCAAACTTTACAAGACAGCTCATGCTAATGAGCTCTCAGCACTCTTCCTCCTGGAGCTCGTGATGTCATGCTAAGTGAACCTACTCTAACAATGTTGATGGGATGGAAATTCATTAGGGCTGAACTGTGGTCTGCCTCTGTGGTTTTGGGGCCGGCCGGAACGCCCTGATTCTCCTCTTCCAAATCCTCTTCTCCTCTCTCCCTGTCTGAATTCAGTCTTGCACATCTTAACCTAGATTAAAATTTTACAAAGCTTCAGAGTGCCACAAAACCAGCAGGCAAATGACAGCTGTTCATTTAAAATGTAAACCTGATTAGATGACACTATTGAAAGAAATAGTTCAGTGGGATAGCATGGCACTATTAAACTCAACTTCCTAATAATGCTTTTACTTAAATATGAAAGAGCCCTTCTGTGAGGTCTCACTAGAAACTGGGGGGTGCCTCGGTGACGCCAGTGATCAGGAGAGCCTTGGTTGGTGGCTTGGAGTGATTTCTGATCCTCTGGGAAAGGATGATAAACAGATAAGATAAGAGAAGAGAGAAGTGTAAAGAAAAGAGGAAGAGAGGACAAGGACAAAGAGATGGAGGCAAAATACAAAGAACAAGAGATGGTGCAGAGGGAAATATAAGGAGAAAAAGAAAGAAAAGGTATCAGTAAAATGAATTAAAAGGGATGCGTGACTTCAAATGAAGCAAAAAAGAGACGAAGAGAAAGGTGGAAAAAACTAAGGAAAGCAGGGCCACTTGGGGGGAGAGAGAGAGACAGAGTCAGAGACAGAAAGAGACAGACAGTGACCGAGCTTTGGAGATAGCAGCAGAAAGATAAACGGCCAGGGAAGGGAAGCTGCAAAGACACACAGGAAGCAAGAAAGAGAGAGTGAGCAAACAAAGACAGGTCCCCTCCCTCCCCCTGCCTCGTCAGGATCCTCCCTGCTGTGATCCAATTAAATGACCCCAGTGCCTTCACCCAGAAATGCAGGTGGTCAAGGCCCCTTGCCAGGTGTGTTTTGTGAGTTTTCCAGGTGAGTGGAACCAGCTGTGGCCAACCACGGCCGCTCATATTCACAATGACAAAACCTGAGGAAGACCACCCCTCAAAATAAGAACTTGTGAGTGACTGACCAAATGGCCATGCTTGTCCAAGGTTTCTGAGAGCCACAGACCTGGGGAACAAAATTCTATGAGGAGCAAAATATGCAACAAAATATGAGCAAATCAAATCCGACAGCATAAAAAGAGTTAAACCCTACAACTAAGCGAGATGTACCTCAGGTATGCAGAGCCAGTTGAGCACTCAGGAAGCACTGCATGTGAGATATCACAAAAGCAAGCTAAAAATGAAACTCATATGCTCCTATGAGGAGACAGAGAAAAGCATATGAAAAATTCAACACTCATTCATGATTCAAAATTAAAGCAAAAGCTGTCAGGAAACTAAGAAGAAAACCTCCTCAATTTTATAAAGAACAGCTACCAAAACTCTACAGCTTGCATCATCCTTAAGGGTGGCAAAATAGAACCTTCTCCACTAAGGTCAGGAGCAAGGCAAGGATGCCCTCTCTAAACATTGGTTTTCAACTTTTATACTGAAATTCCTATGAAATGTTATAAGAGAATAAAATAAATCAGATGGAGAAAGTTATAAAATTGTATTCACAAACACCATGCATTTCTTCATAGAAAATCTGAAAGACTTGACTCCTTAAAATATTCTGGCACAAATGAACAATGGCAAAAATAGAGCCGAGTATTAGAATATCCTATGTTTTCTCTCTTATGAGAAACTCAAAATATAAATAAAGAGCAAAATGAAAGACAGGTAGTAGGAAATAG